CATGAGGTATGGGATCTTGTACCAAGACCTGAAGGGTCAAATGTTATTGGTACAAGATGGTTGTTTAAAAACAAGTCTGATGAGTAAGGTGTGGTCACTAGAAACAAGACTAGACTTGTTTCTCAAGGGTACACTCAGATTGAAGGAGTGGACTTTGATGAAACTTTTGCTTCTGTTGCTAGATTGGAGTCTGTTAGATTTTTACTTAGAGTAGCTTGCCTGATGAAATTCAAGCTATTTCAAATGGATATTAAGAGCGCCTTTCTGAATGTATACTTGAATGAAGAAGTTTATTTGGAACAATCAAAAGGGTTTGTTGATCCTACATTTCCAGATCATGTGTTCAAATTGAAGAAGGCCTTGTATGGGTTGAAACAAGCTCCAAAAGCTTGGTATGAGAGGCTAACTAAATTCCTCGTCAACCATGGATACAAAAAAGGTGGAATTGGCAAAACTCTCTTTGTTAAAGAGAGGGATGGAAAACTCATGATAACACAAATCTATGTAGATGATATTGTGTTTGGAGGGATGTTGGAAGATATGGTTCAACACTTTATCAAGAAAATGCAATCTGAGTTTGAGATGAGTTTAGTGGGTGACTCCATATTCCTTAGTAGAAACAACATTGTGTTTCTTTATCAACTACCGAGGCTAAATGCATAGTTGCAGATATCAATTGTTCTCAAATGATGTGGATGAAGTAGATGCTGACTGAGTATAATATCACACAAAATGTCATGACACTTTTTTGTGACAACTTGAGTGCCATCAATATTTCAAAGAATCCTATTCAGCACAGCAGAACCAAACATATTCATATCAGACACCACTTTATTAGAAATCTTGTGGAAGACAACGTTATAACATTGGAGCATGTTGCCACTGAGAATCAGTTAGCTGACATCTTCATTAAAGCCTTGGATGATAATCAATTTGAAGTGTTAAGTGGGAAGCTTGAGGTTTTCCTATCTGAAGATTTGTAGCAGTCAAATTGGTGTGGGAATACTACTCATTTGAGTGTATAGGTGTTCCCACCAAATAGAGAGAGGTCTTCTAAGACAACTCTCATCTGTAGCATTTCTATATCCTGATATTTAGATAAGGCTGATGATGACCTTGTTAGAGAGGAAGAATAAGAAGAGGATGATGAGGCTACTAACGATGATATCTTAATGTAGTCTTATTTTTTTGTTGTTATGTAAGGGCTTAATGCCCTGGATAAAAAAAAAATTTGGCACTTCATGTGCTTGCTATGTACTTTAATCTTTTATGTTATTGTTTGATTGTTTAGTTAGTTTAGCTACCTTTGTCATATTATGGCTAAAAAGGAGGAGTAATACTAACTTTACTGATCACTCCACTGCTAACCACTAACTGTCGTTGTTTGCTGCTATTGAGGGGGAGAGTTTTATTCTATTATTGTAGAAGAAGGAACTGATTAAGGGGGAGGCTTTAGAGTGTTTTGTTTTGATTATTTTGCTGTTGTTCTGATTTTTAGCCTTTGACTTTGTGTTTCTACTTGCAAGGGTTATTTAGTTAGTTTTAGCCAAAATATGTCAAAGGGGGAGATTGATGAGTCCAAGCTTTTAAGGTTGGCATCAATTTTGGTAAAACTAACTTAACAACTAGATGTTGGACAAGATGTCCTAACATGAAGAACTAATTGAAGATTACGATGTTAGAGGAGATGTCATATCATGATGATTCAACATCTTTGTCTGTTACTTTTCAGTTTTTGATTATGTTATTTTACTTTCAGATTTAAGATTATTCTGGGAATATTTGTTTATCCTAGGTGACGTTCAAGATTAAGGAATCAGAGATTCTGTAGGAATTTGAAGATGCCGTTTTCTAAGTGTGGAGACACTTTAGGAAACTTTGGATTGAAGAAACTATTCTTTTGGAGAATCAGTTACAGATTCTGTGTAAATGAATTGCTGCGTTTTTGAAGCCTAAATCCAGTATATTTTATGGTTATAAATATGATGGATTTAACCTAAGAAAAGGGTGGAATATACATTGTTTCTTAGTGTGTACTAGAGTTTGTATTTTGTGTGTCTGTCTTGTATCGCGTTGATACTTGAGTTGGACTATTTGCATTGAGTTGTAATTTCTATAACTGTTGTGATTGGAAGGGAATTGAGAAGGGTCTCATACCTAGGAAGAGTCTTAGGTAGATATTAAGCATGGGTAGTGATTAAGTGATAAGTTATAAATCGGAGGTTGTTTAGCTTAGAATTAATACTATCTAGTGGATTTCATTCCTGGCTTGGTAGCCCCTAGACGTAGGTGTTGTTGTACACCAAATTGGGTTAACAATTACTATGTGTTTGTTTACTTTCTGCAGGTTGTTTTATTTTTCTTCTTCTTGTCATTGCTTTTATTAGAGATCAAGTGTCTCGACATCTCTTGGGACATCTAAGATTTGTATACCAGAATTTCAAAAGTATTGAAAGAACAATAGGGCCTACTAATGGTTATTCGAGTGTGTAGGATCAAAAGACATTAACCTTGATATTAATTAAGTTAATCAATCATAAGAACCATTAAAAGGAAGCAAAGTTATTCTGAATCTGCAAGATCAGACCCAAAGTTTCGGAATCTGAAGAGACAACTTAAGTATTTTAGATGTTGAACCTAAGATTAATTGGAATTCAAAGATCAACTTAGCTCTGAAGACTGGAATCATTTAAAGCAAGCATACTCTATTATAAGGAATGACTCTACATCTTCTGAACAAGCTGCATCAGCAATTCTGAAGATACTGCTTGAAAGGAGCTTATCTACATTAATTCATCAACTCTTCAAGTGATTATCTAAACTAGTTTTGATCAAGACTCTGATGAAGACAAAACTCAAAACCTGTGAACTCAAGACTCTAAAGTCTCATTCCAACTAGGTTCTGAAGACATACTTTAGCTTCTGATCATGCTTTAAATAATTCTATTAAAATCCTCTAATTCAGAAATCTAAGTATAAGGATAATAATGACTCTGAGAAAGCTTCAACAAACGTGTACAAGAAGACTCCAGTCAGAAGTTATCCATAGAAGATCACGTGACAACAGTACACAAATTCATGTCTAATCAATATAAAGTATGATTTTCAAGATCTTCTCTCTCCAACTGTTCTGAACTCTACTCCACTACTCTCAACGTCTTTATGCTAGTTGAGTTTTATCTCACTCTATTGACCATCATCTAAAGACCTTCAAAGGCTACTTGTACCATGGTAATCTCAATCTTCAAAGGATCTATTCTTAGTATCTATTTAAGGATGAAGATTGAAAACATTCATAAGTTCTTGGAACATCTCCTTGAGCAGAATCTCTTCCTCTCAAGATAATGAATATGAGTTGAAGGTTTCATGACTGTGTTCACATGAGTATGATACCAGTTTAGTGAAATGAGTTGAGAGAATATGTGTTCCACAGAAAACACAAATTGGAGAAACACTCTTCAAAAGATTACATAACCAGAAGGGTTAAGTGTGTTAGAGTAAAGTGAGACATATTCACATATATTCTGAAGAAAGAATATGTGAATATGATCGAGAACATGAAGGCACAACAAGATAGAAATTTGTGCAAGGAGAAAAGAAGAATGAAAACTTCGTTCTTCTACACTCAAGAGAAAACAGTTCAAATCTGCTCAAGATTGTAAACCTTTGTGTATTTGCTTATCCAAGAAGCACAAGGTTCATACTAGATTCTTCTGTTAAGAGAATCTGAAGATTCTAGCCTTTATGCCCATAGTAAGTCTCATTCTATATGATTGAGCATTGAAGTCTCATGCTTGCGGGAAGAGCAAGAAGTTATGAACTGGATGTTTAGGCATTGAATTCTCATGCTTGTGGGCAGGGCGGGAAGTCTTGATCTGGGTGATTGAGTAGGAAGTCTTGAACGAGTAGTTTAGGCAAGGAAGTATTATGTTTAAGGGCTTGAGTAGAAGTCTATTTCCATGGAATTAAGAAGGAAGTTTTGAGATGCTGACTTAAGCAATTATAATCAGCTTGATTATTGTTAAAAGCTCTTGTACTACAAGGGGACTAGACTACTCTCAGTTGAGAGAAACTAGGATATATTGTGTGTCTATTTATTTACTTCTGAATTTATATTCCGCAGTGCAAACATACTCTGAAGTGATTCAGTCTCTTACTTGCATTAGAACCTGAGCTTGACACCTCATGTTCTGATGCAAAGTTAAGAAAAGGAAGTAAACTTTTCGCTGATGTTACTCATCCTGATATCAGACTCTGAACGTGGTTCATAATCTGATAGTTTAGAAATAATAGTAAAAAAGGGTTTTATATTTGGACATACATAATTCAACCCCCTCACTCTTGTGTATTTTTCTCACCTTCATAGCACATAATCAATTCAAATGACAGACAATCCTATGAGTCATGAAAGAGCTAAACGCATCAACATATATTGTTACTTCATTAGAGAATATGTAGTTGCTGATTTTCTCAAGTTGAAAAACATACCATCCAAATATCTGTTGGTCGATTCTCTCACCAAAGATCTACCTAGGAACATGTTTCATTACCTTATAAGCAAGTTGAAAATGTGCAACACATATATCTTCCTAACATAAGGGGAGTATTGAGACCTTTTGCTCAAATTAGTTAGAAGTTAGTTGTTTAAGCTTAATGTTAGTTTTTTTGATGTAACTACCTAACTAAGAGTTAGTTATAACTTGTAACTAACTATCACATTTGAACTTTTATATATATATATATATATATATATATATATATATATATATATATATATATATATATATATATATATATATATATATATATATATATATATATATATATATATATATATATATATATATATATATATATATATATATATATATATATATATATATATATATATAAATTGTAGTTGTATTTGAAGTTAAATACCAACTATGGAAAAATACAATTAATGGTACCAATTAAGATTGAATAATATAATTTATAAATATACGATCAATATAGTTGACCTGGATGAATTCGGGTTGCATGTAAGACAAATCTCCCACCATTCCACCTTGAACATGAGCATCTGCAATTCCAAATGCACCACTAATTGCACATATACCAATAAAAGTTCCAATTCCTCCTTTACCTGATGTTGCTAAATTCAACTACAACAATTCATTGAAAAAATTATCAAATCAAAATCATCTATAAATAATAAATCTTAAGAATTAGTTCAACAATATAAATATATAGAACTTACTATTAACACCAACAAAGTGGCTATGAAAAAGAGGGTATATCCAAACAGGTTTCTTAATCTAGTATTGACTTTTGCCTCATTATAAGCAAGAATAAAAATTGTTCCAACTGCAAATGGTTGGTATACAAGTGTAAACACTCTAGATGGATGATATTTCTGCACATAAAAAAAAAAATTAAATTACAACAAAAAAATATTTTAAAATAAAAAAAAAAGTAATTTTAATATTATAATTTAAATATTTCATCATTATCAATTTTTTTCTCATACAAGTGAGTTTTATGAAATTAAAATAAATTATTAAAAGTAAACAAATTACCGGAAACAGGTTGATATAGTAATCTTGTATTGTGAGCATACTATTCCATGAGAAAAGACATCCATTGCCAAGAAGCCAACAAACCACTATAGCCACATATTTTCCCTAAGAATTGTCAATAACAAAATAAAAATGAAATTAAGAAGAAGAAAAAACTTAATTTACATTCTAAAGATAAAATACTAGTGGATCAATTCAAGCATAAACCTTAAGACGATTTGAAGGCTCAATGTTGACCATAGCTCTATGGTGGATTATTCTCTTCAATCAAACTTCTAAAAAATGGAGACAATCTCAATTCAAAATAAGCTTCAATGTGTACATATAGCTCCAAATAAGTCAACTATTGTCTATTATATATTAAAATATACTTAATAATGCAATCAAAATAATAATATGCAAATCAATAAGTGGGAACTATGAAGCAGCTCTGAAATCGACATAATAATAATAATGATAATAATAATAATAATAATAATAATAATAATAATAATAATAATAATAATTCATATGCATCAATATATTAAGATATATTTAAACATGGAGGCAATTCAAAAATAGTTGCAAATCATAGAAAGGAAGATAATAATGATTAATATATATTAAAGAAAAAGATGGAGATGGAGCTTACTATTTGAGTAGAGGCAAATTGAAGGTTCCACAAACTGAGAAAGAGAAACATGAACTGCAAGAAGAAAGAGTGAAGAATCTTTTTAATATATATAAAGTATGATTTAGATGTGATTAAATGATATTATATTATTAGTTGGATATTTCAAACGTAACTTTATGAATGTGAATTCAACGTTATGTGATTTTGTTTTCATACTGTGCTCTACCGTTACGGTGGGCACGGCCATAGTGTATATCTATTTTAAGATATTATTTTATGAAATTTAATTCTTTTGAATCTTCTACAAGCGGTGTGAGGAAATAAAATTAAGTAAAAGCGGTTCGAAGAAATAAAATTAAGTTTGGTATGGTGCGAGAAAATAAAATTAAAATTAAGTAAAAGCAGTGCGAGGAAATAAAATAAAGTAAATGTATAATTATATTAAAAATTTGTTTTAATTGAAAATTTGAATCTGGTACAATTGAAATAGACGAAAATAACTTGGATGAAATTTAGATGACGGAAAATTAAAAGCTACAAAATAAACTGATCCAAACTCAACACAAGAACGATGCAATAATTCTCCGATGTGAAGAGTTAACGCATTTGGAATGTAAATTTATGGCCTAAGTTATATTAAGTTTGGATGATCTTAAAAAATAAAATCTAAGTCCTATTTATAGTGGTACTAGGCTTTGGAAATCAAGTAACTCCTTCAGACTTCGTGTGAGAGGAAAATGGGAGTCATGGGGGTGATTCTTCAATTGCTTTGACCAGAACGCAAAATACAAAGATGGTGACCGCCATGTTCACAAAGTGGACATGGCTTAGTCTTTTGACTGTTGGGACGTGGGAGAGGTGATCTAGCTCACAACTACCTCTATGGCCAACGCCATGTTGGATGCCATGTGTACAATTTTCATCCTTTTTCTTCATTTTTTATCTGTTTTGCTTTATTTCTTCGAGTATGGCTCCCATTTGACAAATGCCTGAAACAAGAACATAATACTGCATAATACAACTAAAAACAAGTAAAAGACACTAAATTGCATACAAATTGAGTCGAAATATACGATATATTTTCACGTTATCGAACTCCCCCACACTTAAACCATAACTTGTCCTCAAGCAATCGACCAACACGGTAAAAATAAATTAAACACTATTCGAAACAAAGACACAGCGAGACTCTTAATCATACGTGGCCGCTAGGCTAGTGTTAGATCAATAAGTACTAAATATCAATACCAAGGATACCGTAATGACACAATTTTGTATTTCACGGTCAAATACTCCCACCTTATGCAAACCAATCTGAATCATGTCATTATAAATCAACCTAGATCTCTTGTTCTTTTTCATCCCATTTCATTCGGGCACAATCACATTAAACCCGTTATCCGTACACATTCATGGTAAGTAAGTCTGTTAGTGACTATGATCTCATTGTTTATATATATATATATATATATATATATATATATATATATATATATATATATATATATATATATATATATATATATATATATATATATATATATATATATATATATATATATATATATATATATATATATATATATATATATATATATATATATATATATATATATATATATATATATATATATATATATATATATATATATATATATATATATATATATATTTCTTCTTTTTCTTGGCAAATAAGCTTAAGTATCATTTGAACTTAAAGAGTTTGAACCGTTAGGCCAAATGATCAGGTGAGGATCACCTAACTTGGAAGGAACATATCTTATCATTCATTTTTCTCTTAATTTTTCTGTTTTAAACCTGAGATCATACACTTATTTGCATCGGCTTCTTGTTTAGCGTGTGCTTAGGATGGTGTTGAGTGCTATTATAAACTACTTAAGGGACGCTTTAAAAACTAAGCTTAAGGTTTTGGCATAATGGATACTCAAATTGATTTTGCATATTTAGGGAGTTCAGGATGTCGGAACGGTATCGATTTTACCAGAACTTTCCCAAACCTTTATAACATAGCCTAAAGTGTGACAACCTATATACTTCAGAGTGTCGTGGCATGAATCAAAATGAAAATGTTTTGTTAGGGGTCCAAATTTAGGAAAATTTAATAAACAACTTAAAACCACACATAAAGTGATTAGGCGAGAAGTTTTAAATGGGGGAGTTTAACTTTGAAGTAATGTTATCATAGTGGAGTTCCTTCCTGGCTTGGATGTCCTAGATGTAGGTGATGTTGCACCGAATTGGGTTACCAATTGACTGTGTTATTTATCGTTTTGCATTTAATATTCTGTATATTTACAGTTGGATAAATTGTTTTGTCTGTCTAAAGATGTCAAAAATCTGTCATGAATTTGTACTATGATGTTGAAACATCAAAATCACCATCATGTGTTGTATGTGCCAGAAAATTTCAATTGACATCAGAGATGACACCCTAGTCAGTTTTAGGTGAGCTTCAGGGAGTTTTTTTTTCCGGTACTGTGTGATCTTGGATATGACAACATCTTTTGGAAATTTGTCACCAAAGGATGTGTTTGGATTGTTCATTATGAAGATGTGGAGTCCATATCCAATGATTTTTTTTTTGTTTAGCATGTGTTCAGTTAATAAACACACGTGTGGTGACCAAAAAGGCTTGGGAGTCTCTCAAGACTTTGCTTGAAGACACATCTGATAAGGCTAGCTGGTTTCAGAGGTATCTTTCCTAGAGATGTGTCAAAAATGTGTCTGTTGTTGAAGAAGAGGATCAAGTTTCCATTTGCTCAGGTGGACCTTTTAGGTCTATATTTTATTGATATGTCTTTATGTGTGACAATATTGTTTTGAAGAACAAGAACATGACCTCTGTAGAAGTCTATGACCTATTATATGCTGAAGGATTGTGAGAAACAAGTCAACCAGGTTTTGTGCATATGGATTGAAAGTCAAGGATAAATGTCTAGAACATTCACCCAGACATCTTGAAGATCCTTCTGCTCAAGGAAAGTTGGATCTAATTGTTCTTGGTGATGTTTTTGTCTATCTTGTGACTACCTTACCTAAAAGGTTAGTTTCTGTTGTGGACCCTGATTTTGGTGTGGATGAGCTGGCTACTTCTCTTGGAGAATTGTGCTTAAAGAAGGATGCCGTTAAGGTTGAAGTGTGTTTTTTTCTCAAACTTGATATCTTAATCAAGTCTATGAGAATATAAAACTCTTGTTCTAATATGGTGGAGGACTTCTTCAAGATGGGATGATGTCTGGAAGCCTAAAAGGGATAAGGTGTTCTAGGCTATATCAAGCAAGTGAGAACTCAAGTGTAGAGGAATGAGCTTCCTTCAATAGACAAGTTGTGTCAATGATGTCAGATCATATTGTCTCAACATTGTGCTGAACATCTGAATATTCATGCAAAGAGCAATGTATGCACTAGAGCTATTTTGTTAAAAGCTTGTCTCATTAGGCATGTGTGTCTGTTTGGTTGTCTCTAAGGTCCATCTCAACCCTTGTGAACCAAGCAATGACTAAAACTCAAGGAAGTTGTTGATTGTTGTTTCCTTTTATATCTTCTTTTTGGTGTCTCATCTAAGATGAGTATTTCAGACTCTTGTCTGAAGTAAAGGAGTCTTAGAGCTGGATTTTCTAGTCCTTATGCTGGTTCCCCATGATAAAGGTCCTTGTGTAAAGAATTCTTCTTGGTCTCTTATGGATAAAGGTTTATTAAATAACATTTTTTATTTGTGTGTGCCCTAAGGAACTTTTCTTTAATCTTATTGTCCAAGGATTTTGTAGTCACAACATGTTGGAACATTATCCTTTGGAAACGCTAATGCACTTCATATTATGGTGTTAATGTGGACTGTGCAAGGTGGAGTCTTGAAGGTTAGAGGATCGAAGGGCAAAGGAGAAGCAAACTCATGCTGAAAAGTCTATTTATGGTATAATGCTCAGTCAATACCCTGGTGTTTGTAGTCAACTCAAATGGTACCTGTTAGAGGGAATCTCCTCTTTGGGTGCATAAGCATGGTTGATGACTCTGTAATGTCAGACATGATATTTGGACATTGGGCTTATGAGTAGAAGCTTCTTGACGTGTGTGAGAGTTTATTTCTCTATGTGTTGTGCTAGGTTGATTAACTGCTATTGTGTCCCTTGCAGAGGGATGTGTATGAAGAGTTAAGAGAACTTTGGTGTCTTTTAAGTTGGTGTAAAGCTGTTGTGGTGCATGGATTTCTACTGTGTGAGCATGAAGAGATTCATATGTTTGATCTAAGGTTTGGGTTTTTCCTTTTAGAGGGAGTACTAAGTATGTGTGACAGGGTGGTGGGGTACCTGTCTATGTTGCTGCTGCAAGATTGCAATTTGTATAAAGCTTACATGTTCTCATATAGCTTGTGCTGGTTTGTGATGTTAGACCTAATGTCTTAACATTGTGTTGTCGGGTGTTCTTTATTGGTTTGACAATATAGTGGTTCTTGGGTTTCTGTGTTTTTGTTTTCGCTCATGTATCTCTTATGTGTGCTAAGGTTGTTTTAGCCAAAATTTGCCAAAGGGGGAGATTGTAAGTCCTGTGGTTTTTGGATTGGCTGCATTTTGGTAAACCAACATCTTGTTAGCAAGATGTTGAACCA